CTCCAAAATAGACCACATGCTAGCTCATAGGACATGTTTAAATATAAAGGAATTGAAGTTACCCCCTGTATACTATCAGACCATAATGCTATAAAATTGGAGATCAATAGCATAAGAAACCATAAAACCCCCACAAACACATGGAAATTGAATAACACTCTCCTGAAGAAGCAATGGGTCACAGAGGAAATTAAAGAAGAAATTAAAGTTGAAATTAGACAGTTTCTAAAAGTAAATGATAATGCCAGTACAACATACAGGAATCTATTGGACACAATGAAAGCAGTTCTAGGAGGTAAATTCATAGCAGTGAATACCCATATTAGGGAAACAGAGAGAGCTCAAATAAACAACCTAATGCTGAACCTCAAGCTCCAAGAAACTAAAGTTGAAATTAGACAGCTTCTATAAGTAAATGATAATGCCTGTACAACATACAGGAATCTATTGGACACAATGAAAGCAGTTCTAGGAGGTAAATTTATAGCAGTGAACGCCCATATTAGGGAAACAGAGAGAGCTCAAATAAACAACCTAATGCTGAACCTCAAGCTCCTAGAAAAAGAACAGCATAACAAACCCAAAATTCATACAAGAGACGAAATTATGAAGATCAGAGCAGAAATCAATGCAATGGAGACTAAGAGAATGATATAAAAAATCAATGAATCAAAGAGTTGGTTTTTCAAGAGTAAATAAAATTGATAAAGCTTTAGCCAACCTTATCAAAAAAGGAAAGCAAAGGCTCAAGTCCATGCAATTAAGAAAGAAAAAGGTGAAGTCACAACACATTCAGCAGAAATCCAGAGGATCATTAATACCTACTTTGAGAACCTGTACTCTAATAAAATGGAAAACACAGAAGAAATGGACAGATTCCTAGATACATATGAATTGCCAAAGTTAAATGAAGAAGATATAGAAATTCTAAACACCCCAATTACAACCAGTGAAATTGAAAACATAATTAAAAGTTTACGAACAAAGAAAAGCACAGGGCCTGATGGCATTGCTACTGAATTCTATAAGACATTTAAAGAAGAACTATCACCATTACTCTTTAAACTCATCAAGGAATTGAAAGGGAAGCAGTACTTCCAAATTCATTCCTGGAATCAAGTGTTACTTTGATTCCAAAACAAGGGAAAGATCCAACCAAAAAAGAGAACTAGAGGCCAATCTCCCTAATGAACATGGATGCAAAAATCCTCAATAAGGTACTGGCAAAAAGAATACAGAGGTTCCTCAAGAAAATCATATACCCTGACCAAGTTGGATTTATCCCAGAGATGCAAGAATGCTTCAACATCTGTAAGTCAATAAATGTAATACACTATATTAACAGAGCTAAGCACAAAAATCATATGCTCATCTCAATAGATGCAGAAAAAGCATTTGACAAAATCCAACATCCACTCATGATAAAAACCCTACCAAAAATTGGAATAGAAGGTCTTTATCTCAACCTGATTAAGGCTATCTATGAAAAACCAACAGCCAACATTATACTAAATGGTCAAAAACTGAAAACTTTCATGGTAAAATCAAGAACAAGACAAGGATGCCCACTATCACCACTCCTGTTCAATATAGCTCTGGAAACATTAGCCACAGGTATTATACAAGAGATAGAAATGAAAGGAATAAAGATAGGAAAAAAAGAATTTAAAATGTCATTATTTGTGGATGATATGATACTTTACATAGAAGACCCAAAAAACTCTGCCAAAAGGCTTCTAGACTTAATTGACAGGTTCAGTAGAGTAGCTGTATACAAGGTCAACACACAAAAAACAATAGCCTTCTTGTACACAAATAACAGACTCACTGAGAGAGAAATTAGGGAAACAATTCCTTTTGCAATAGCATCCAAAAAAGTGAAATATCTAGGAAATCAATGTAACAAAGAAAGCAAAAGACCACTACACAGAAAACTACAAGATCTGAAAAAAGAGATTGAAGAGGATATAAGATAATGAAAAGACATTGCTTGTTCCTGGATAGGAAGAACCAGTATAGTGAAAATGACCATACTTCCAAAACTGCTATACAGATTTATAGCACTGCCAATTGAAATTCCAACAATACATTTCACAGAACTAGAGAAAACAATCCAAAAGTTCATTTGGAACCAGAAGATACTTAGAATAGCAAAAGCAATTCTAGGCAACAGAGACATGGCAGGGGGTATCACAATCCCCAAGTTGAAACTATACTACAAATATACTGTGATAAAAACA